GATTTGATACAGGCAAACAAAAAAGAACTAGTAGCTCTCAAAGTAAAAGTAACTTCACACAACTGGAGAATTAACTATTAAACTAAGTACAACTTAAAAATTAAGCATATCAAATAAGAAGTCCGTGAAGGAACATGAAGCAAGAAATTGTACAGGACAGCAAGTGGATCGGGAAATATCTATTCTTCCTAAAGACTTACAGTAGCTATTAAGCCCTCTTGTTCTAGCCTATACAATTTGTCAAAACTAATTATCTCCTTGGAAGTACAAGAAATTTTTTAAAGCCTATTTGAACAGATTGGGAGTCTGTTCACGGGAGCGATTAATATCTGTATTTGTGGGACACACTGCCACACTTTATGCCATGTAAATAACTTAATTTGCAAGAAGATTTCTATCCTGTAAATTGCAAAGAAAATCTCATCTTCCACAGACTCCACAAACTTTCATAGAGTGTCAGCAATATTCCAAACAGCTCGTTAGCTGCTGTCCCTCTCCAAACTGAATCTGAATCTTTAAGTTGAATAAACACAGTCCTAGGAGAGTACATTAAGTGAGAAGTGCTGGATGACTGACTTGCTCACTTAGACTCAGAGTTAACTTCTTGTCTGGTTTATCTGTTTGGACCACAAGCTTTGTATATAAAGCAGATCATGAGCCACATGACAAAATACACTGTCAATACAGCCTCAATTCCATATACATACTAACATAAGAACAAATAGTAACAATATTCAGCCTGCTCCCATAATTTAACCCTTTCCTTTCATTTCCACAGGTCTTTCTCTCCCTACTCCACAATGTGACTGCTTTTGAGAAGTCCCTGTTTATTTTAAGCATTTGCCTTATGATTCTGAATCATACTGAGAGAACTGTGTAATAGAGGAAATCCAGCCTCCTAACTTTAGATTCCTGAATTCCATCCATGGTTTCTCCTGCTTCTCATAGTAAGAATAAAAGCTGCTCAAAGCTGTCATTGTTCCATATTCCAGAAAAGACAGTTACATAATTACTAATTACCTATCAGTGAGTCATATTTGTTGCAGAGCAGGGAAAGCCAAAGTGAATGTCAACTCTGCACTGAAGAAAAGTACTAAGATAACATTAAGGCGGAAAGCATTTATAAATATCCTGAAAGTGGAAGCAGGGTTAAATTCAGTTCAAGATGGCAGAGAAGCAGCTCACAGTTTGGTTAAGTAACCTTTAACTTGCAGTCATCTGCAGACAGGAAGGAGGACAGAGTTGTCTGAAGAAAGTCTGAAGAAGACTCTAGAAGAGAGCAAGAAAACATAGAATTTAAAGTGGTGGGACCCATCAACCTTCTCTTTTAAACTTATGATGGTACAGCACATATTAAATATAAAAACAGACAATTCATATCAGCTCTACTGCCACTATTTTACAGTTTCTAGAGATTTACTCAAACACACAGTGAATGTATCCAGGCTAGACAAAATAAATTGCACATACTTCAGTACAAAAAGATTGACAAACAGCACCAGTACACTTCAAAGCAATTCACTTACATTTCTCCAGAGTAGCCACTCTTTGGTGACTTTTCTTCATTTCTGCTTTAAAGTCTGCTCAGCAGATTGTGAAATATGTAGAAATATTGTGAGAAGTTATACTTCCCAGCTGTGTGTAGGGTACTTCTCAGATCCAAGTTACCTCTATAAACCTGCTCTTTGTTTTTGAACAACATACAATGTAATATTGTACTACGAAGAAAGGGCAAAATGTTTAACAGCACAAGACACGTAAGGGATAACATCTTAAAACATTTTTTGTTCCTTGCTTCCAATTTTGAATCAACTAAAGAGACCAACAAAAACCGTCTATATTTGGTAGTTTAAGTCCTAAAGTCAAGTAAAGGAAAGGTTATACTTTAAAGCTGGTAGACCCCAAACCATAGCTTACAGATCATGCATGATCTCTAGAACTGTGCTCTTGATAAAAGGAGGAAGAAACCATGAAATCCAAAGATTCCAAGAAATTAAGGTTAAAAAACAAAAAAACAAGCCATTTTGGTGATGCGCTAACTTAATGCTACCTCTTCCTCCCTCACCACAAAATGTAGATACTATAAATCGCCATAGTTGCTTGCAATTCCTTGAAATGTTAATCCAAAGCTACTGCAAAACCACAGTAACGTTTTAAACCATATGAAAAAGCACTCATCTATTTAAGTAAATTTGAAGCAAAGACTACAACTGAACAGGCAATGACAGTGAGGAGAAAACTAGCTGAGACACAAGAAAGTCACCATGAGCAAGCACACCTCACCATGCATTTTGATATCACCCCATGAAGGTTTACATTGTGGGGGTTTTGTTTGTTTGTTTTGTCTCATGATTGTGAAGGTTTTTGTGCTTTGTTTTTTAAAATGCAGTCAGCCATTAACTTGATTTTCAAAGTTTCTCACAAAGGAAAGAGCATATTCATGTATATTCAGATGGCATTTACACTATCCAGTTATTTTCCACAAATTCGACTAAAAACATGCAAAAATACAATGAACACTGTAACACTTTCAAGGGATTTGTTTATTTTTGGTTTACAAACAAAGGCACCCAATAATTCTGTTTATGTCTTATAAAAGCTCACAGATTTAGCATTTGTTTCCAAACATCTGTTCCTACAGCAGAGAAAAACATTACAGGAAAATGTAAATTTTTTTCCTGGTCCCAAATTTAAATACCAGCAACTGTTAAGTGAACATGTTGTTTCAGACTGCTCTTCTTCCTACTTAACCAACTGGAATACCTCCTGTAACTTGCTTTTCAGTACAGTGAGTCTAGCTTACTGTATCAAAATATAATTCCACTATATTTTTTGATCAACATCCACTATGTGCAAACACTGGTATGAAGAACTGCAAGAGAACAGGGTTCTGATATGGAAAAAAACACCAGTAGTTTCAGATAGAATTTCACAGACTGACCCCAGGAAGTGACAAAATAAATAAATTCAGACAAAACTGAATCTATTGTCAGTTAAATAGGATGACTGATGAATTTGTGTAAGATACCAATGGTGCACAAAACCACAGTCTCCAAAGAGTGAAAAAATTTGGGTTTCTAAATTGTCAAGTGTTTAGAGTAGACGTTCAATATCTTTATGTTTAAGGTAATTCTTTTCTTTGTTATTTATTCAAAAGAATAGATTTCTAAGCAGTGTTCTGGACCAGAAATAATCAGTTCATTGGTTTGATAGTTCTTAGTATTAACAAATCAACATTGAAAGTATCATGTATAATAGTTATAAACAATCAAACTCATCAGTGAATTGCTTCACAGAATCACTTTCAGAATATGATGCATTTGTCTTTTCAAACTTCAGCCACATGCCAAAATAGGACAAGGGGTTTCATTGGATAGTAGGCACCTGAAAATAAGTCTACAATGCAGGAAT